AGCATTCAAATCATAAAAATCAGATACTTCAGAAAATTCGTCAGCAGCATAACGACAGTATACGAAATTTCCACAAAATTCACAAATTCAAAATTTTACCAAATTATCACAGGTAGTATAAAACATCATTGTAAGACTTTCATTATACTGAAGCAACATTTTTTAACATCCAGATAATTCGTAATTCTATTTAAACACCGCATAATTCAAAATACCCGGTAAAAATCTTTCAGAAAATACTCAAAACGTGCAAAAACATCATCTCAGAAACATACCAAAATTTACGCAGTAAAAGTTTTACCGGTACAAAGTTATACCAGTTTTTCGCTAACGGAAAATGAATTTGAAACAGAAAATCCGTAAAAAATCATATTTCTGAAAATTGAGAAAGGCATAATGTGCCTTACCTCGAGTCGGTCAACTTTTCCAACTACGGTGACGGACGAAAACGAGTCAAAGTCGCTCAAAAATTCACTTTTTCTTCCTCTTTCTTCATTTTTCACTCTCCTCAGCTTTCTCTCTCTTCAAAAATGACACTATTAAAATATTTATCAAGCAGGATCATCCAGGACGATGTCCGATCGTCCCGGGACGACCTTTTCTGGACTCAAAACGTCAAGACGAAAATAAATTCCAATTTCTTTGTCCCTGGACGATGCTCTCTGTTTGGTTCGTCCCGACGGTTTGTCCCGACAGTTCCAGGTTCGTCCAGATGAACATGCATATTTTCTCTGTTCGTACTGGTAGTTCGTCCGTACTAACCATACAGATTTTCAACATTTCTTCAGTTCGTCCAGACGGTTCGTCCCGTACTGATAGCACAAAAAATTTTTTTTTTCTTTTTTTTTCCAAACATAAATTGAAAATTTAAGAGTTTCACACGACTGATTATTGTCTTCATAGTATTTGGATTGTATAACTTGTAGCTTTTTATGCTGGAGTCATAATCGATGAAAATGTACTTCTCACTCTTATCATCCAGTTTACTTCATTGCTCATTGGGTACGTGCGCATGGGCTATGCTTCCAAACACTCTTAGATGAGAGATACATTGCTTCCTTCCACTCCATGCTTCCTTTAGTGTCATTCCCCACACACTTCTTGTTGGAGAACAATTGGATAAGTAAACTGCACATGCAATAGCTTCAGCCCAAAATTCTTTATTAGGTAGTCTCTTACTCTTAAGCATACTTCGAGCTATATCAAGGATAATTCGATTCTTTCTTTATGCTACACCATTTTATTGAGGAGATCTTGGGATGGTCAACGTATTCCATTGGCTTCAAAAAATTCTTGAAATTCTTTTGAAGTTAACTCCCCTCCTCGATCGGATCGCATGGCTTTGATCTCGAGGCCGCTTTCTTTCTCCACAAAGGCTTTAATTTGAACTTTTTAAATACTTCAAATACCTCCGATTTTCGCTTTAAAAAATATACCATGATTTTCTTGAAAAATCATCTATGAAGAGAAGAAAATAATTACTCTTACTGAGAGAGCTTGGCTTGATTGGGCCGCATACATATGTATGTATGAGTTCAAGTGGCTTTTGTGCTCTCAAATTTGGCTCTTTTGGAAAGATCTTCCTGGATTTCTTTCCGAGTAAGCATCCTTCACATATCTGATCTAGTGTTTGATGTAGGGCAGACCTCTCACCATTTTCTTCTTTGATAATAGCTTTAGTCCTCCAAAATTAAGATGCCCAAATCAAAGATGCTAGAGCTAAGATGGGTCTTTGTAGCAGGCTTTGAGAAACTTAGCAATATCATTTTGAATATTGAGCAAGAACATTCTATTTCTTGACATTGGAATATTTGCAATTAGGTTGCTCATATTATCACTTATAGAAAGATTTTTATCTTTCAAATGAATATCATAACCTTTCTCTAAGAGTTGACCAGTACTTAAGATATTACTCTTTATATTTGGTACATAATAGACATTGGAAATGAATTGGTGTTTTTCATTCTTTAATCGGACAAGAATATTACCTTTGCCCTTCATAGTAACCTTGGACTCATCTCTAAAGGATACATTGCCGCTCACTAATTCGTCAAGTTCCACGAACATGCTTTTTCTTTCACACCTATGGTTGCTTGCACCGGTGTCCAGATACAATGTGTTATCTCCACCTTTTTCATTCTCTTTATATGCCAATAACAAAGTGTAATCTTGTTGACTTATCTCTTCCACATAATTAGCCTTATCTTCAACTTTATTGTTATTGGGAGTTCTACATTTTGCAGCATAATGACCAAATTTTTTATAGTTGTAGCACATCACTTGAGATTTGTCATACCGTGATTTTGATTTTCCTCTTCCACGTCCTCTTGTTGAACTTACTCCTTGACCAAAATTTGTATTATTGTTCTTATCATTATTAGAGCTCCAACCTTGTCCACGTCCATGACCACGGCCTTGTCCTCGACCACGGCCTCTTCCTTATTGGCTTCTACCATACTAGAGGTTCTCTTCTTTGGTTGAATTCATTTTTGTCTTCAGGAGTTGTTCCGTGATTGCTTGCTTCTTCTTCTTCTTTTCTTTGTAGGCTTGTAAAGAACCCAAGAGTTGCTCGATTATCATAGTCTCTAAGTCTTTAGTTTCTTCAATTATGGTGATGATATAATTGAACTTTGATTTAGTGATAGAAGGATTTTCTCCATAATCCTTACATCTTCTAGCTTCTCTCAATTTCTTTTTAATTGGTTAGAAACGGCTAAGACTCTAGTAAAGTAGTCAGAGATGACTTCGACCTCATTTATATGTAAGTCTTCGAACTCACCTCATAATGTTTGGAGACGCACCTTTTTGACTTGCTCTACTCCTTTGTAAGAGGTCTGAAGCTTCTCCCATGCCTCTTTGGCAGACTTCACATCAAAAATCTTCTCAAAAGCATCATCATCTAATCCTTGAAAGATTAGATAGAGAGCCTTATTGTCTCTCTTCCTTGAATCTCTTAGACTATCTTTTTGTGCTTGGGATAAACAACTACAGGAAAATCATCCATTACCGTAGGATTTTTCTGGTGGCTTTCTAGCGGCCTAATTTTTTAGAAAATTTTTCAGAGCAAAGTGGTTAAGTCTTTGTACTCCACAGACAGGTTCTGAGTTCAAATCCCGGACAACACGGTCAGGCAGGCAGGAGCGCGAGCAGCTGGCACGTGGGGTTTGCTGGCCGATTCAGGCGGGCAGTGGGCGCAATCGGGCTGGCGGGCTTGTGCGGGCTGTCGAGCTTGCGAGCCGGCGTAGGCATGCAGCGGGCGAGATTGGGAAGGGCTGGCAGCATGCTTGGTTGGGTGGGCTGGCGGGCTAAGCATGGGGGGCAGCACACAGCCAAGGTGGCCGATGCGGGCAGCTTAAATTTTAATTTTAATTTTCTGGTGGTCTTATTCCGCCGGAAAACCGTTAGAAATATTTGTCGCCGGAAAATACTGCCGGAAATATTTTTCCTATGCGGGTTTTACCGGAGAAAAATTTTGTTGTCGGAAAGCCGCCGGAAAATGATCAATTTCCACCAGTAATAGGTGATTTTCCTGTAGTAAACTTGACTCATCTTGTGGCTCCTTGTAGCCTTTTTCTATCATCTCCCATATGTCTTATGCTCTAAGAAGAACATCTTGCGCTCTAAGAAGAGCCTTCATTTTGATGCTCCAATTGTCATAGTTGCTATTGTTGAGAGTTTGGACTTGGAAATGGAATATACCATTGCTCGCCATCTCTTTAGGAAGAAACTTTGGCTCTAATACCACTCTGTTGGAGAATAAGAAGTTATAGAAGGAGTAAGAATTCTAAAAGAGAAGAGGAACACTTATAAAACTCACTTTTATTTCACTCTTTAACTTCTTGATTCTACTTCATACATAAACACAGACTCCACACCTATTTATACTAGTGACTTCCCTTTTAGGATTGTGCCAACACATTTCAATCTAATGGCTAATATTGACTATCTAGAATATTTTCCTATCTTCTTACAAAAGTCATTAATTGCATATTCTATAATACTCTAAATAAATATTTTTAGAATATATTTCTAGAATACTCTAAAACATTCATCATAAAGTAGGATTCTAGAGTTTTCTAAAGACTTTTCTAGACTATGGGCTCAATTAGAAAGCCCATTCAATTAAAGGCCCAATTAATCAAGTTTAATTTTCAACACTTATATCTAAACCTCACATAAATCCAATTAAGAAAATCTGGGATGCTAATCAGTTCTAGGATTGGAAAATAACTTTTGGCCTCCACCTTCGAATTGGATGAAGATAAATGTGCAGAATTCTATGGACAAAAACAAAAGAAGATCGAGAAGTATTATGGATCCTGATATGTTCTTTGTAAGTGATTTTAAGAATGTAAATTTTAATTATGTTCCTAGAAATTGTAATAAAATAGCAGTTTTTTATACTAATTATGCTAGACTAGATAATTTATTTTGGGAAGATTTTTTAGATAATAATTGTCCTTCAACTCGCTTCTTTATCTTGAAGGATGAATGTGATAGGTTAATTATCACTTGACTTGTATTTATTTCCTTGAATAAAAGTTTTATAAAGTTTCTTCAAAAAAAAAAAAAAAAAAAAGAATCACCTCCATTACTTACTCTAGCAAATTAAATAAATTTTATTCAATTATTTTATTTAATTTTAGAGATATTATTACTTAAATAGAGAGTTTTTTAGCCACAAATTTTTTTGTTACTCTAAAAAATATTTATATCGATGATCACTTATCCTTTCTGTAAGATGAGTAAAAAAAAAGAAAGAAGAAAAAAACAGTTCAAACTACACGCTCAAACAGACATTTTATTAACAAAAAATAAGGCCGAGCATATTTCACTTAACAGTACATGCATAACATCACAGGTGTTCGTTACCCGTTCCTCTCCCGGTGACTAAGCTGCAGTCTCCGTGCATGCATGCAACGTGTCATCACTATCCCCAACCTGTCATCGTTCTCTATCCTCAATCTTCCTCGCCTATTTCTAACAGCCAAATTTGCCCAACCCTCCTACACAAATATCTTCATCTTCCAGCAACAGAAGTTGGAATTCCAAATCGTACGCAAATGGCTGTCATGCTCAACGGAAGCCGAGGCTTGTTTCTCAAGCTCTCTTATCCAGTTCGCTCTCCTTCAGCACTCAAGGCCAAGCACATCTTGTTCCCTCTCAAATCTACGCAGGTGAAATGAAATGTTAATACAGCTATGAAATCTACGGCTCTAGTTTCTATCTTCTTTCTACCTGATTTTGTCATGAATACTTTTCAGAACTACTGCAAGGCATCAGCGTCATATCATGAAGATGATAGGGCCAGACAGATCCGGGAAAAGCCAGCAGAGGCTGCCGACCGAGCAAAGGAGGTGCTGAAGGAAGGATCAGAGAGCGCCAAAGAGAGGGCCTCGAATGTGAAGGATACGGCAGAGGATAGGGCGAAGTCTGCAGCAGACTGGGCCAAGGATGCAACGAACAGTGCTTCAGAGAAGGCAAGAAATATAGGGGATGATGCGAGGGAGTCTGCGGAGTCCGCGAAGGAGAAGACGAAGGAGTCTGCGGATTCAGCGTGGGAGAAGACAAAGGAGTCCGCGGAGTCAACCAAGGAGAAGACGAAGGAGGGGCTGGGGAAGGCGGCAGAGGTGGCTGAGAATGTGGGGGAGAAGGCGAAGGAGACAGTGAAGGGAGTGGTGGGGGCTGCAAATGATACGACACAGAAGGTAAAGGATGCGGTGGTGGGAAAGGACGATGGTGCGGGTGATAATAAGGTTCATGGCAAGTGGTGAATTGGTGGGGAATGCTAAGAGACTTTAGAGGTCAGCAAGGAGAGCTGAGGAAAAGGAAATAATTAATACTAATTACTTTCAATTTGTATTGTTTTTTACTTCTTTCCTTCTCTTCAGAGTTGAATATGGTTAGCTGATGTATACTTTGTGGTTTCTTGTGTTTCTAATATGCTTAAAATGCATAAATAAATGAAAGCAAAATGAAATTCTCTGGATCAGAACATGATCACTCTGGCTAAAGCAAAAAAATTGTTTGACTTTATTTACTTACAGTGAAAAGATAGGTGTTGTGAATATACAAAATGCTGAGAAGTTATTTGTGTTGGAATTGTAACCTACAACTTCTTTATTTGATTTAAAGCTATCCTATTCCTATCTTATCAAATGGAATCATATATACATTTAAACTTGATCAATAATGTTGTGCTTTTTAGAACTTTATGCAACTTGATAGGGATTTGGGCTGCTGCTGTTCTTACATATAGTTATATACATTATTGTTAAAAAATCTTTCAGCCAAGAAACTATGGAGATCCTCTTTTTGGTTTTAGGGACGGAGCTCGATTTTCATAACATCTTGTACTTCTAAAATGGTTTCTCATTTGAAACTACTTCGCATGACCTAGCTATTTGAATAATTTTATGTTACTTCAAATTGTTTATGCTATGGAGCAATTGATATAAAATTAGCATAAGATGACATGTTATTATTTATAACATGTGATTTAGTTGAGCTTGGGCCTACAAAACTAACCTTAAGGTAACTAGGCACATTGAGTTGAATTATTAGACCATATTAATGTAGTCTAGTTGGGGCTCATAACTTGTTCTATATCACACTTAAAACTTATTGTTGGTCCATTAGATCTCATTTAATCCGGCCTAGAGCTCTTTAGCTCATTAGAGCTTTGCCCTAGCAGCCATTTTCTATTGCATTTACTTTGGCCTCTTCATGTCCATCAATGATTTGGGATTTCTTCTCCTAGTTTCCTTTTCTTCTTTTCTCTGGTAGTCTTTTGATTATTCTCATTTGATTGTTCCACCTCCGTCTGTTTCTTAGCTCGAATGGCGATTTATCTTCTAAATAATCATGCTTTTCTTAATGGGAAAAAGAATACCCATTCCTTTCTTGAATCCTTGTTTAGGTCTTCTTCCTCGAGTGATTTTCCTGATCTTAAAACAACTACTCATCTTAGGCTTCCATCCTTGTGGATTTTTGAAAAAAAATCCTTGCTCTTGCTGAACCATTCGAGTATGCTCTGGTTGGTAATTTCTGAATCGTAAACCCTCTCTCGATTCAATCCCTAAGTTTTTCTTTAACCTCAAGTTGATCGGTGAATGCTTTGTTACAATTTTGAATCCAATTCATGTTTTAACCAAGCTGGTTAAAGATTTGGATTATAGTAAAGTATTTTACCATCATTCTTATTTTGTTTTCAATTGCTACATGAGGTTGTTTAAGTGGTCATCATTTACAGTGGAATCTCTGGTCATTCCAATTTGGGTTTCATTCCCAAACTTTCCCCCGCATAATTCATGGTTTGTGCTCCTTATTTGACCGTCCTTTGAAAACTGATAACACTACTGTCGTTGGATCGTGACCATATGTTGCCCAAGTCCTTGTCAAACTGGATATTTTCAAATGCTACCTTGAGTCTTTTTGGATTGCTCTTGATAATCTAAGTTACATTCAACAAGTTGTTATGGAGGATTTTCATCCATTTTATGACAATTGAAAATTTCTGGGGCATTAGAAATCTAACTGTCGTATTTTTCACCGCCTTTTAGATAGGGCTCCTACCATTTCTAAGTTTGTTGTTGATATTGTGGGGAATGACATTGTTGCTCATCGGGTTAACTCTGATGCTATTGTTCAAGAAGTAATTGAAACTCATAATACTATGGCTACTAACCCTTTAGAGATCCCAGCTTTCATTTCTAAGCCTGTTGTTGATACTATGGGGTATGGCAATATTTTTCAGGAAGAAATTGAAACTCATAATTCTTTGGGTACTAACCCATTAATAACCCATGCCATTGATCCTTTTATTCCTTTGCATGTTGATGATCTAAGCATGTTAAATTTAGCCCTAATGAGGCTTTCCTTAATGTTGCTTTCGTGCAGGATGATGAGGAAATTCATACTATTCTGGATGCTCCTACTCCTAATGTTATCTCTATGGCTATTTCTTGTGAAGATATAGAGGGTATTAATGATGATATGGGTGTCAATACTACTTTTAGTTGTATGGTGAATCATATAGCTAGCTCCATCCCGACTCTTAGTTTTAATGGTATTCATGCTGAAATTGTTATAGCTGATTCTGGTTTAAATTATGCTTCTAATTGCTTTGTTACCCAAGTCGCTAATGTGATCATTTTGGAGCCTAAGGAGTGTTGGGCTAACAACACTATGGGGTTTTCGCTTCTACCACGGATGTTGTGAATGCTAATACTTTGGTTGTGACTGTTGAGCCTCATGGCGGCTCTCTTGACCCTGAGATTGGTAATTCTCTATTTAACTTTACTTTGGATGTTTCTTCAATGGTTTCTTTTACTTTATTTCCTTTTTCACTTGTTGATGGTGGTCATAGGAATGCTAATTTGAATGATCCAATTGATCAATCTGATAGTTTCTAATTCTAAAAAAAATTGTGATCCTGGAGGGTCTTGTGGTGACCTCTCTAACAGTTTGTTTGAAGATAGTGATTTAAATGTGGTGCAGGTGATAAATGAGGGCTTCTTTGTGGGTTCTTGTAAGAATGGCAAGAAAAATAAATTTAAGAGTTAAAAATTCAAATATTTTTGGCATGGGGTTATTTCATTTGGCATGTGGCTTCTCTTATTTTCTGGTTATATCTATGTTATTTTATTTTGTTTTGATTGTTTGGGTGTTCTGGTGCTCTTGTGGCCTTTTGGTGATGTTATCTTTTTCTCCAGGGGGGCTTGGCTCTTTTGGTGTTTAGGTTATTGTGCTTTTGTTTGATCAAGTTGCTTTCCTGCTATGGGTGGTGTCCTTTTTGTTTCGATTTGTTTTTTTATTTGCTTTGGAGCCACTTAACTTGATGCATATATCTTGGGTGCTCATGTTGTTGATCATGGTTGGGCGCTGGTGCTAACCTTCTTGGATTTTTTTTCTTAGGTTTGGTTCTTGGGTTTACCTCCATTCTTGGTTTTTCTGGTTTTATTAATGTAATAGATAGGATATCATGCTCATTAGATTTTGCTTCAAATACTATACTTTTAGAGAGCTTCTGGTCATCTAAGGGCTTGTATCTTTTTTATTTCGCAATGCATAGGCCTCTATGTGGGTTTTAACCAAAAACAAATAAAAAAGTTGGGGCTCTAACTATCTAAATATTCTATTATTATGTTTTAGATCTTGATTATCTTAAATTAAGGACCTTTTTAAATTATCTAAAACTTACAATATCTATGTGATATATTGTGAACCCTTTTATACGATATCTTAAGACTTATAGTACCTATGTGATTATAAACACATACTTTTTAGAAAATTTTAGCACTCTAGCAAATTTAATATTTTAGTGCCTTAGGAATATCAACCATCTTGAGCCTAAGCTTTATCTTTATCAAACTTAAGGTGAGGTTGGGCCAACTTAGACCTTGGCAACCCTTATACTCGAACCAAGCCCTATGCGGCTAAATTCATCTAGTCAATCTTAATACCAATTTTGCTCACATGGTCCATGTCAAGCTAACTGCACACATAGAACATACTCTATAAACCCTTTATTGAACTTACATTAATTTGATCCCAAAATGTATTTATAGGTGGCTTGGCCAACTTAACTTGTCCCAATAATCAACTTTAATCTAGACTAATGCTAAATTCGTAATGATTAGATGATGGTCTATAATAAATTTAGCAATGTATTTCCTTACTATTCAACTTGACACTATTAACCCCATTGACGAATGGGGTAAAAAAATTAAGGAATAAGTCCTCTAAAACTAATGATTAATTGTGGTGTATGTGGAAAAATTAAAAAATGAGAAAAAAACTACGGAGCCACATCACATTAAGAAGTCCACTATCAAACTATAAAAAATAATACATATCTTCCACTTCCACTTACTTTCTCATAGCCTTCAGACTCTTTTATACAGAAAGGTATAACCACTAGTCAATTACAACTTGTACATTATGAAAAAAAAAAAAATTGACTCAACAGACTCGTAGTGCATTTGCGCTAGGTCCAAACAACTCGACTGATCGACATAATCAAATTCTAAAAAGAACTATCATAAGGTTGGCTCTATTAAGAAAGATAAATATTCCTCATGACTAGCTAATGTTATCCTAATCCAAAAGAAATTTGATAGATTTGTGCTTGTTAATTTCCATGACCTAAATTAAACATGCATGGAATGTGAATTTAGCTAGCTTGTCTATTCTCGACCTAATGGTTGATTTAGAATCATTTTGCAATCTAGTTTTCATAATGGATGACTCATCTGGTTATAATAAAACCAAGACAACCTGTAAGAATGAGCATTTTATCATTTTTAGAAACCATATTAGTACATACTATAAGTAGGCCATGCCTATTAGTATTATGAATTCTAAAGTGACACATTAAAGGTGTACACCCATATTTTTTATGGCCATATCCAAAGGCATGCAAGGTTATGTCAATGATTTGTTAGACTAAGAGTGAGGTTAGTGATAACCATTTATTTGATTTGAGAATATGTTTTTATCACATTTGTCACTTTACACTCAATATGAATCTCCTTTTCATTTTGGGTTACTTTTGATAGGTTCCATGGGTTTATTTTTAAGTATAGAAGCATTGAGAAATATATATCTTTAAAATTTAATCCATCCTTGAGATGAAGCCACCTTCGAGCCTCATGTAGTTGGGACCATGATCATTCAAAATTTAGAGGAAATCCATTTCCAATTTAACTAGATGTGTCAAACCCTTTGCCACATTTATAAGGATATTTAGGGGTGTCAATTTCTGACACGAGCCGAAAACCTAACCCAAACCCGACCCAAAAAATTTGGGT